TGGCCCAGATCAGGTTCAGGTACCCGAGGTAATCCACACATGGGCCAGCACAGGACCACCAGTGTGTCTGCAACTGGCCTTGTGCGTCTGCAACTGGCCTTGTGCTGGCCCATGTGTGGGCCACCTCTGGCAAACCAGGTCTGGGCCACCAAAGGGCCGTCATTCTTTGCAGTATGTGGGCCATGTGTAAGCACATTGTTTGGGCCACACCAATTTTGCTATGTGGGGCAGACCCAACATCTTCTAAGTGAGGTGTTTTTGCCATGTCCAGCTGGCAGGAGGATTTTTATAGAATCGGGACACGTTAGAGTGATTATATCTCTGGAGTGAACTCAGTGTACCCCCAAGAAGAGCTCCAGGAAGTGGCCAAGCAGAGGGAGGTCTGGATATCTGTGATTAGATTTTAGCCCTTGTGACTGGGAACCCAGATAAGCAGCAGAACATGGATGTATGGACACAACGACACTCAACAGTACTTCTACTTAATGTTAAAATCACCACCACATTTGTGGGTGAGTGGGGGAGGAGTCTACCTTGTAAGCAGCTTCCCTCATGAACTGCTTTGCAGGCATTTTCCAGATGGCAGGAACTGTGATCACCCATCTGACATCACTGTTGTCGAACTCGCCGCCTGTCTGATCACTCAGCTCCTGTTGAAAGAACATTTAAACGCGCCATTTAATCCTCATGCATTTCAGGTTTAACTGTGAGTTCATGCCACCAGTCAGAGCCTGTGAGCTCAGAAGCAGCCATCTCTCTCTGATTAGTCCACTGTGCATGCTTCATCACTGTAGTACCTTTAATTCATAATGTTTGTGAAGTGTTTATGAATGGGCTTCAGGCTAAAGCTCAGTGTGTGCCCAACAGAACTACTAACATATAAAGCTTTGACACTAAAATGCATAAAATTCAGAATGAGAAAATAAAATAGGCCTTAAAGGATTTGCTAATCAATGCATTTTGCTTTGATTTAAATTCTACACACAATGTTTGTCAACAGAAGCTTAATCAAAGGAGAAAATATTACTTTGCATGAGTAAGAGAACAGAAAACATGTGTTACCTTCAGTGCTTGTTCCTTAAAGAAAGCCAAAGCATAGGCAAAGATGTCCAGAGCTTTGACACGCTTCCCATTAGCTGCATGGAGGTCAGTGTTGATGGACAGGTTCTGATTGCAGAGAGAAGACATCACAGTCAACATAGCACTGCTAGTTTTCTTTCCCTTTGTGGATTATCCACACGCGTCTGCTACCACGCCACACTGTACAATCTACTCCACACATTCTTAACGACCTCTCAGCCATGACCAGTTTAGACGTATCAGTTATTGTAACATAGTCACGGGTAAACATCTAAATTTGACAAAAACAGCTGGGCTAAAAAAGTGTCTGTGAAGTGACACCAACTATTCTGACACTGAAGGACTCACAGCCATTAGATCATCAGTTTCATAATGTATGTAAAAAGGTCTGTATCAGATGCAACAGTATGTTTCAAGTAGCCACATATTTAAGCTCAGGGTGGGCTGAATGGCAGTGGTCTTTCTTTCGATTTTCAAACTTCTCATGGCTCACGTCTGTACCTGTACTTGCTGGAAAAAATAGAAAGTGAAACATTTTTACATTTTTACATATCACTATAAAGCCTATAACTCAGAAAACTCATCTACATGGATGTTAAAATCACCCACAATAATTATTTTATCTGAGCTCAGAACTAAATTAGATATAAAGTCTGAGAAATCAGACAGAAACTCT